TTCATACAACATCCTATACAAGTGTATACATTTGAAATGCTGAAATTTTAAGCAAATTTATCTTTTATAATTATTAAGCATTTAGGGAGGAGGGAGGGAGGTTTCGGTAATTGGCTATAATAGTCAACCACATTGTATATTGACAAAATAAAATAAAACTAAAAAATAAATATAAACAAATAAATAACAAAAGATTTTATTAAAAAATAATAATTATTATTAAGCATTTATGGAATATATATATATGCCTTCTTATTTTAAGACACTAGTGGGGGCCAAAACAATTATCAGATATTAGGAACTTTTCATTAGGGAGCAGCCAGCTAAAGTACTGGCTGTGAGGCTTGGGAATTTCTTTTTTCATTTTCCTTTTATTCACTTTAATGTATTTGCCTTCCTAAACTAGAAAGAAATAGAAAACAAAAGAAAAGTTGAGAAATAGATATAGAGGGTAATGATATAAATATAAAGAGGAGTCAGGCAGCTAAAAATTAAAAAGATTGTGATGAATGAGAAGCTGATGAAATATACAGTAAATTCCCCCAGTGTTGTCCAGAAGATCTTTGTTATTTTTTCTTTCAAAGAACCTAAGAGAGCAGTAATAACTAATCTGGATAAACTAAACAGAAATTTAAACTCATTTTGCAGTTAATTTAAATTGGTATATACTGAGAAAGAGCAATGAGCAATGTCTAGGCTTAAACCACTGATTTTATAATTATTGTAAATAAAATAACATTCTATTTTGGTATTCCTTGAAGTTGGCTTCTTTAAAATGTCTATTAAAAACATACATTTTCCCGCATCAGGCTTTACTGTTTTAAAGTGTTAAACAATCAAAAGTGAAACAACTTAGAATTCTGCATTTTAAAGTCATTTTAAATGGAACTTCAATCTGAAGAGTGAGAAATCTTATTAAAACTTTGTTTTTAAGTTACAAATCTATCAATCCAATTGAAGATACTGTATTAGTTATTAGTTAACTATTGTTCTGTAACAAAGGACCTCAAAAGAAAGTGGTTTAAAAATAACACATTTTTATCTTACAGTTTCTATGGCTTAGGAATCTGGGTCCTCTGCTTCAGGGTCTCTTACAAGGTTGTAGTCAAGGTGTTGGCTGGGGCTGTAGTCTTCTCAAGTCTCAACTGAGTAAGGATTTGCTTCGAATCCCAGTTATGTGGTTGTCATTGGCAGGATTCAGTTCTTCGGGGGTTGTTGGACTAAGGAGCTCAGTTACTTACTGGCTTTTGGCAGGAGGCCACATTTAATTCTTTGCTACATGGGCCTCTCCAGCATGGCAGCTTGCTTTATCAAAGCATGCCAGCTGAGAAGGCAGTAGAGTCCAACAAGGTCAACGCCATAGACTTTCATAACCTAATCACATAAGGGACATCCCATCACTTTGTCCATATTCTGCCCATTAGAAGCAAAGCATTAGGTCTAGTACACATTCGAGGGGATGGGATCACACAAGGATGAGAATATCAATAGATAGGATCACCAGGAGTCATGTCAGAAACTACCTACCAGGGCCGGCCTGGTGGCGCACTGGAGAGTGCACCGCTTGGGAGGGCAGCAGCGCTCCCGCTGAGGGTTTGGATCCCATGTGGAGACCGGTTCCCACTCACTGGCTGAGCTGCAGCAGCACTCCCGCTGAGGGTTCGGATCCCATGTGGAGACCGGTTCCCACTCACTGGCTGAGCGCAGTGCGGGCGCAACACCGAGGGTTGCGATCCCGTTGCCGGTCCCCGGTATGGGCGCGACACTGAGGGTTGCGATCCCGTTACCGGTCAGTAAAAAAGACAAAAAGGAAAAAAAAAAAAAGAAACTACCTACCATAGTTATCTGGGTACAACACCAAAAATTCTGACCTAAAAATTGCCATTTGGCTGGCCAGTCAGCTCAGTTGGTTAGAGCTTAGCCTTATAACACCAAAGTCATGGGTTTGGATCCCTGGACAGGCCAGCCGCCAAAAACCAAAAAGCCATTTTACTAATATCATACCATAGTTTTTAGTTACAAAAACACTGGGGGAAATTATAGAAATCACTGGTGGTTTTAGTGGCTAGAAACTGAAATTCAGTAGAAACCAAAGCATTCATTATACTATGGTACTTCAAAACGTTTGTGGAAAGATTCATATTATCTTTCAATTCAATTTTTCCACAAACTTTTTGAAGTACCCTTGTATTATAGTTTCAGAATGCGTATGTGAGAAGTTAATTTAGGAGGTTATGAGATTTGGCTTCATACCAATACAGAAATCCCTTCACAACATCTGTCACAAATGGTTTTGCCACTGCTTTAAGTAGTTAGTTGTAAGGAACTTGCTCTTTTGGTGGCAGCGTAGTCCATTGTTGGAAAGATCTAATTTGACTGTTACAGAGCTGACTCTTTTTAACCCTTAGCCTTATTGTGCTTTCTAGTGCGAATACAAGTCTTTATTTTTTTGTATTATTTTTCAGGCAAATGATACTGACAGGTTGTGTGGCATTTGCACGTCATGTTGGACCAACACGTGTAGAAGCTGAACTTTTACCACAGTGTTGGGAACAGGTAAAGAACTGTATTGGGTTTCCCTCTAGCTATTATATTATAATTTCTTATAAAGGTTTATATATTTTTTAAATGTCATTAGGAAATATGTGGGTTATAAATTATGCTGCTGTTTCTGTAGCTCAACACAGAAAAATGCTCTGGGATGCTTTGCTTTATTCATTTATTCAACAAATACTTATGAAACAATAATTTCAGTGCTAGGTACTGATGTACACACCAGGGATACAGTGGTAAACAAGAGACAAAGACATCCTATTGGGGAGATAAGAGTAAAGAAAGACATGATATACTATCTTATAGTAATACATACTATGAAGAAAAATAAAGCAGGATAAGAATTAGAGAGTGGTGGAGAATGCATTGAAAGGATGGACAGAGAAGGACCCTGAGGAAGTGATATTCAGGCAAGAATCTGAACAAAGTAAGATACAGCAAGTACAAAGGCCCTGTGGTGGGTGTGTGCTTCATGCATTCAAGGAAAAGCAAGAAGACGTGTGTGCGTGTGTGTGTGTGTATGTGTGTGTGTTTAGAAATACAGTTTTCCCTCAGAATCCAGGAAGGATTGGTTCCAGGACCTTCTGCAGATACTAAAAATCTGAGGATGCTCAAGTCCCTGATATAAAAAGGTGCGGTATTTGCATATAACCTATGCACATCCTCCCATATACTTTAAATCATCTCAAGATTTCTTATAATACCTAATAGAATGTAAATGCTTTATAATACCTAATACAATGTAAATGTATTGTTTAGGGAATAATGACAAGAAAAAAAGTCTGTACATGTTGTGTCAGATGAAACTTTTTTTTCCAAATGTTTTCAATCTGTAGTTGGTTGAATCCATGGATGCAGAACCCATGGATACGGAGGGCCAACTGTATATATTGTATACTTGTATATATTTCAAACACATACAGTATATAAAGTGTAAACCTTTTATGTGGGAAGTTGTTGTATTTATAATTGAACTCATTATTCTACTAACAATACTTTTGGTTTTATATTGAATTTTGATATTCTAGTCCTCTATAGAACTCAGAATCATTGACTTTTCACACTTGCTGTTTAGGTCATTAAGCACTTTATTTTTCCACCTTAAAAAGATGGGTTTCAGGGCCTGGCTGGTTAGCTCACTCAGTAGAGCATATTGCTGCTTACACCAGAGTCTTGGGTTCAGATACCCATAACCAGCCAAAAACAAAACAGATGGGTTTCCCATTTATGGAGACAAATTACATGGCCTTATTTACAATAGCACAGTCATTTATTCTTAAGAACAATATTGGTCTCTGGAATATCACTAAAGTACGTAGTCATTTAGAGTTCTATTTCCGATTTCTTAAGGCATTCATTTTTTTAATTAAAATATACTGGAGTTACTAGATCCAATATGTAAAGTGAACATTATATATAGTAATAATTACCTCTGATAATCCCTTACATCATCTATAAATTACAGTGCATACTAATTTACAGTGAGGTTCTAATCACCTGAAGTCAAAATTAACTTGGATACAGCATATACAGCTTTAAATTTACAATTCTATACAGTTATTCATGTGTACATTTTATTTTTATAGTTTTTTCATTTTCTTTTTTTCTAAGCTCTATTGATATGTAATTCAAATACCATACAGATCACCCATTTAAAGTGTACAATATATTGGTTTCACTATATTCACAGAGTTGTATAACCATCACCCACCATCAATTTTAAATCATTTTTATCACCCCAAAAATAAACCATAACCCCTCAAATTTGGTTCTCCTTTTTCAAGATTATTTTTGCTATTCTGGGTCCTTGGATTTTCATATGAATTTTAGGATCAGCTTGTCAATTTTTGCAAAGAAGCTAGCTGGGTGTTTCATAAATAATGGATTGAATCTAGAGATTAATTGAAGAGTATTGCCATCCTAATTTTATGCCTTCCAATCTATGAATTTAAGATGCCTTTCCATTTATTTAGGTCTTAAATTTTCTTTCAACAATGGTTTATAATTTTCAGAGTATAAGTTTTACACCTCTTTTATTTATTCCTAAATATTTTATTCTTTTTGGTGCTATTATAAATTGTTTTTTTAATTTTATTTTCAGTTTGTTTATTGCTAATATAAAATATAGTGATTTTTGTATGTACATTTAATTTTGAGATTCATTGAGTTTGACTAAAGTAAAGGGAACTGAAACTTTTATGTACAGCATACTTTTACATCCAAACCATTCTGTTTTTGAGGTAACTATATCTGGATTAAATTTAATTTAGAGATGTTCGTTATAAACATCTCTATTACCACCCCTTTTATAATCTGATTAAACATGGACATCGGGGATCTATCTAGCCACCTACCTCCAGTTTGTTGCCCAGTAGATTACTATATAATTTCTTTTCTTAATTTTAGGCATCCAATACATTAATGAATTATGTCACCTTTTCATATGGGAATATGAGAACAGATATACTTCTTTTCCAGTCAAAGAAAGATTTATATTCTATGAAGAAGACATATGGGAACAAAACCCAGTATGTGTCATTTTTTTGTTATTTTTTATGATTCAGTGTACTCACCACAATAGCAAAACCCCATCATTTTGTATATGGAAACAGAGAAATGGATTGAGTCTGCTTAACTTTAAAAATCACATTTCTAGTCAAAGGCTCTGGTTAAATTATTGATTTATTTCCTTATCCCTTAGGTAAAAATAAGGACCAGCACATATTACAGACCATATCTATAACATCCAGAAGCTGGGCTTCCTAAATTTAAAAATATATTAATGTTGGTAGGGAAAGATCTTCATTTTTCCTGACATCCTAAGGAAAGTCTACTCTTAGGCAAGCCCATAATCTCTAGACACCTTACCAAATTTTCATCTTTGGTTTTCCCTTTTTTCTTGAATAGATGACCAGTGTGACCTCATGTTTAGGCTCTCCCTGATTCCCTTATTCCTGATCCAGGTATACACAGGGATTCCCAGAAGTGGAAAAGGAAGAAGCTTTATTGCATTCTTAACAGGATTTATGGTGAAAAGTAATTCTCTATTCAAAGAAGGAAGGGTACATTGTTTATGCTTGATTTGTTTATTTTTTTATTCTAGATTAATCACAAATACCCAGAAAGACGACTACTTGTGGCAGAATCCTGTGGAGCATTGGCACCTTACCTTCCTGTAAGAATTGTCATCTTTTTTTCTCAAAAACTTTTTTTCTTTTTTAATCATAGAGAAACCTTTTTTCAGGTGTCTTATACGTTTTAATCCAAATTCTCATAGGCATGCTCCCTTAATAAAGAAAAGAAATGAGCCAAAAAAGAAAAGGCTTACAGTACAATATGGTATTGCAACAGATAGGTACATTACCTTTGATTTTGCCTGACTATAAATATACAAGTATTAAACTATCAGCAGTTCTCAGAGTATGGTCTGACAACCCTTGGGATGTTCCTTGAGATCCTATCAAAGAGGGCCATGAGGTGAAACTGTTTTCTTAATAGTAATACTTTTTTGTCTTTTGTACTGTGTTGATGTTTGCACTTTTGGTGCAAAAACAGTGGTGGGCAAAACGCTGATGCATTAGCACTAATCAGGGTAGTGGCACCCAAATGTACCAATAATGATTGTATTCTACACTGCCATGCATTTGCAGAAAAAGCCAATTTCACTTAAAAATGAGTTTGCTGAATTAATTTTTCTAAATTTTGACCTGCACGTGCATCTTTTTAATATTCTGTGAGACAAAATAGAAAGTACTCATATATAATCCTTTTGCTTCATACTGAAGTATGGTAGCTATTTGCAAGAAAAGCCCTCATGACATTGTTTGAGCTGTGAGCCAAACTAGCTGCTTTTTTTCACGGGACACTGATTTTACTTAACACAATCACAGGCATTCAAGCTGTGGTTATTCAGACTTGAGTATGTGGCAGACATTTTCATGAAATTAAATGAAGTGAGCCTGTCATCCTCATGACATTGTTTGAGCTGTGAGCCAAACTAGCTGCTTTTTTTCACGGGACACTGATTTTACTTAACACAATCACAGGCATTCAAGCTACGGTTATTCAGACTTGAGTATGTGGCAGACATTTTCATGAAATTAAATGAAGTGAGCCTGTCACTTCAAGGAAAACAAGTAGACAGCATTTGTTGCTGATGAAGTTCTGAGTAACTCTGTGGTCCAATTTTTCCCAAGACCAATGCACGTATTAAAATGGAGGCATCAAAGATAGACTAATGGAATTTAATGTATCAGTTTTAAAAGAATATTGTCAGTGAACCATATCATGGTTTCAGGTTCCACATTGTAACTAATGTTTAAGGAATAACTACTTGTCCAGGTTTAGTGTAAAAGCAAAGTAAAAGGATTTTTTTTTTAAATCTGAAAATGCTGTTAAAACATTCCTCTCCTTTTCCAAGTTACATGTCTTCTGTGAGGCCAAATTTTTTTTAAGTACTTCAACCAAAACCACATAATCATAGCAAATAGAATGCAGAGCAGACATGAAAGAGATTTGGAACAAAATATAAAAAACCATTTTCTCACTAATTTTTTGTTTTATAAATAGTTGTTTTTTAAAAAAATTTATGTTGGGCCGGCCCGTGGCTCACTCGGTAGAGTGCGGTGCTGATAACACCAAGGCCACG